TTCCCCGCCGCGGGCGCGGCAGCTCCTCCCGCTTCTGAGCAGGGTGCCCAGGGGAGCCGTTGCTTCACGAGTTTGGAAACAAAATCACTCGCAATAGGACCGGCTTAACTTTGGGGAAGTGTCTGTGCCGGAGGTTAGTTAACCCTGTTCAGTTAAAACAGCCTCAAGGCTGGTTTAGTTAATTTAATTGATACATGTGCATGTCGGTACCCCTTCCTTAAGAGACTGAAGTAAGCGTCGTTTAAAATGAAATACGATGTTGGTAACACAAAGTTTTGCGCTGTTTCAACTCAGTCTTCTTTTTTTTTCATTATATCTGAGGTTCAGTTGCAGGTATTTTCTTTTGCTGGCTAAACCTCATAGCTGAGAAGTTAGGAGGAAGTCTGCATACAAAAATTGGCAAAGTTTTCACAATTTGAACTTGTAGATTACCTAAAATGGTATTAATAGGTCAACAAGGCCTATTTTCATAGTCACCTAGTCTAAATACCGCTCAGTCTTACAATTCAAAACCAGAAATGAATTTTTTTTGTTACCTTCTTAAAACTGACAAAAACAAAAGGGAATTTGCCTAATTATGTATTCTGTGTGGCTTTTAAACAGGGTTAAGTTTTTGTAAGTCCGTCTGTCTCCATTTGTTACCTTTTATAAAAATTCCAGAAGCACGGTGAACGTGGTCACTGAAAACTGGTAGCCAGGACCTGTAACTAACACCCGTTCCTACTCCTTTAAGAAGGATCCTTAGAGCTGATCTCTACAAGATGCAAAAGCTAAGGAATTGCACGTTCCTTGAACGTTGTTGTATTTCATACAGCTCCTGACTCATCCCTGTGCAGCGAGGGAACAGTGCCAAGATGTGCCACAAGTAAATTATTTAATACACCTGGTTCCCATGCTGAAATCCCACTAGGATTAACCAGAGGACTTAAAACAGAACCTCAGGTGAATCCCGTGATCCCAGGTTTGAGCAACAGGATGCCAACAGCCAGTCCCTATGCATTCCTGGGGGACTGTGGTGCTGAGGGATGCCTGCCAGGTCTGAGGAGCTGGTCTTCTGAGTTCCTTGCTGCACCTGCATCAGCTGTGGCAGGTCACCGGGTGTTTTTTTCCTAGGGCTTTTCAAAGGGTATCCCTGCTGGATGGTAGGCAGTGGTGCTTGGTACCTCCCAGACTCTTGCTTGTACACACCAAGATCCCTTTCCTTGCGTATACCATAGCATGTCTCCACTGAGAAGTCCCTAGGGGTGACAGGGCTCCACAATGATCCTGGTGGGAGCTAAAAGGAAAAAAGAAAAATGCTACCTTTCCCATCTGTATCTACTGCCCTCCCAAACTCCCTCCCCTGCTGTTGTTTGTGCAAGCTGCATGGAGGTGGAGAAGGGGAAAGGTGGGGTTGAAGCAATCAGAAATGGTGGTGTAGTTTCCTAGACCGTGCTGCCTTGTCAGAGTCACGGGGGACACTATGGTCCACCAGCATATTACCTTATCCGCTTTCTGAACGCATGGGATGGGCACTGCTCAACCCCTCTGTGACTTCTGTTGTCCCTTGCAGTATTCTGCAAGACCTTTATTTCTGAGAGGTACCGCAGAGTCTATGGACTCTACCGGTACTGCCCAGTGCTGTTACAGTCACAGAGCTGCATAATTGTTGCATCCTGATAAGAGAACATCAGACTCTGCTCTTATCTTCAGTTTTTCAGTCTCCTCTGTTCAGATACCAATATTCAACTGCTCTTTGTGTTAGGGAAAGCAGAAGGCATCATTGCTTCAGACTGCCTCATAGATCTGTGGAGAATACAAAAGAAGGTAGCTCTCAAACACTTCTCTAGACTGTAGTGCATGCTTAAAGACGATCACCTTTCCAGCATAGATGCTAAGAGTTTCTGGATGCTGTTACTGTGCATGGCAAAAGGGAAAGATGACTTCAGGTAACGAAGTGGGAGGGCGCTGCACGTGATAACAATGCAGTTGCTGAAGAACGAAGAACAGCGTAGCTAGATACTCATCCAATTATCATATGAAAAAAAAGGTTCAAATTCTAGTTTCCATACAGAACAATTTAAACCTCAGAGTCTCCCCGGAATGGATAGTGAGAACTAAAGGGAATTGTTAATCCTGTAAGAAACATGCTAAAAATAGCCTCTGTCTATGTGTGAAGTCTCTGTGTGCTTCTATGACCTACAGTAGTGTATTTGCTGACTGCCTCCCAGCTAATTGGAAAGATAAGGAAATGCAAACTGAAGTCTCTTCCTCCTTTGATTAAAAGAGTAAAATACTTCACTGGTAACTCCTGGCTTCATTTTATTAACATTCTGTTAACATGTACTGTACATGTAGCTAGACGGAATTAACATAAACATAATTACATTTGAAACAGCATTTGAACATAACAGATGCGATTGTATTCGGGCCAAATTCTTCTGTCCTTTGTCCTAAAAGATACCTTCATCAGGCTTCTCACCAAAACCTTAGTTCCATCTGCATTGCAAACTGGAACAGTATTTTACCATATTCCGCTACGTGGTTTATGTGTGGTCTTGCTCCAAGCTGAGAGAGACAGGTCTTCTTCCTTGCAGATCAGAGGATATAGAACTCTTCTAAGTCTTCCCCCTCCTCTCCTTTTTTTTTTTTCTTTTTTGTAAGTTTGATTTTTTGTAGAAAAATTACAGAAACCTTCAGGGAACAAATTGTAGTCTGAATGGAAGCTAAGCCCTCTTATGCTTCATTCAGTAAAAAGTTCAAGGCTGAAAAGCCATGACAGTTGCTTTTGAAAATGATCTCTGAACTTCGAATTTTCTGATAGGAAATTAAGATAGTAATAAGAGGCCCCTACTGAATAAGAAACAGGCTTAGATAGGATAACTGGGGAAACAGAGACCAGGAAAACTCTACCAACCTTTACACAGAAGGCAGTCGCTGTCTAACTAGCATAGTTATACTTGCTCTTGCATGACCACAGATTAGAAAATTTTACCTATGTTTTTAAAAGTAGAAGAAACGCAATTAAGCATGTTACTTACAAACCCACATACACAGAAAGAAACTGATCCCTTTGTGCCTTTTCACTGATAACCATAAAAACGAGCCCACTAGATGGAAGAGGTGGACAACATTCCATGAGGGTAATATTTTATGATATTTTTTTTGGTAGCTTTTACCTAAAATGTCACTCTCTTGAGTGAATCCTATGATGACTAACAATGTGGTTGAATTTACACCACAAACCTGTTCATACAGGAGGCAGTACTTTG